GGTAGAGCACCTGCCTAGAATCCCCCAGTGAGGGGCTGGGGTGTGGCTCAGTGGTAGAGCACTTATCTAGCACTCAGGTGGCCCTAGGGTTAATCCCCAGGATGGTGTGTGTATGTGTCTGAGAATAAATGAGCTAAAGCAGTGGTTCTTAACCTGTGGGTTGTGACACTTTGAGGTCAAATATCAGAAATCCTGCATATCATTATGATTCATTAACAGGAGCAAAATTACAACTATGAAGTAGCAATGAAAATAACTTTATGGTTGGGGTTAGAGGTCACCACAACAGAGGAACTGCATTAAAGGGTCGCAGTATTAGGAAGGTTGAGAACCACTGCTCTAAAGAAAAAGGACCTTGGTGGACAGGGGCCTCTGCAATAGAGACATGAGGCCACCTTGAAGGGGCACAGAGAGTCTTGGAGGAGGGCAGCACCAGAATGTCCTGAATGGGAGATGAGATGGAGGAGGGAGGGGCCGGCAGCATAGCAGAGTGCTCGAGACCCCTGGCCTGTGCGCAGGACAGGAGAGGCAGAGGGATCCGGTCTGTGTGCCACAGGCACTGGTGACCCTGCCAGGGCTGAGCCTACCTGTGCACACGGGCCTCATACCGAGGGACCTGGTAGAGGGAGTCACTTCTGTCCAGGAGCAGCAGCGCCAGCTGGTTGATCAGGGCCCCGTCAGCAAACTGGGGTGGAGAACAAAGGCGGGTTCAGTCTTGGGCAGTGGGCACTGTTATCTTCTACCCTCAGGAGGGCTGAGGCCACAAAGTGGGAGCATGACTTAGGGGTGAATCTCCTCCCTCCCTCCCTCCCTCCCGCAGCACCTGAGGGATGGGGGGCGTGTAGTGGGGGCTAGGAGAGGACCTGGAAGCCCCAGCTTCTCCAGCCCTGCTCCTGCCCTGTATCTTTCGTTTAGGACCCTGCTCTGCTGAAGGGCGCAGTGGCACAAACCTTTACCCCGAGCACTTGGGAGACAGAGGCAGGGGGATGAGAGTTTGAGGCCAGTCTAGTCCACATGGAGACCTCCAGGCCAGTGGGTTTATACAGAGGCAGTGTCTCAAAAACAAGAACAAAAAAATAAGCCTGTTCCCCGAGGCCAAGGTTCTGTCCTGTCCATCTGGGTGACCCCAAATGGCCCCGTTCTGTTACTAGCCTACCTCAAGGGCTTCTGTGGGCTTGCAGTCATCGACCTGTGAACAGCAGCCGGGAGGGAACCATGGGCCATGGGGCCCCAGGGTACGGGGCTCATGCTGTTCTGGCCCTAGCTTGTGGTGCCAGCCTCGAGGGTCATGTGCCTGCCCCACCCTGAAGGCTGAAGTATGAGCAGTCCTCTCCCTGTCTCTTACTCAGAGGAGCCATGGAGGGTGTGGCAAGACAAACCTCGCGTGGGGTCAGGCCAGAGCACCACACTCTGGCCTGGTTCCTCTTGGCTATATGAGGTCTACAGGGGAGAGATCCCAGGTGGTGGGCTCACCTGGGTCACCGCTGAGAAGAAGGCCTGAAGCAGGATGGGTACTGCCTCTGCACACTGGGTTACCCGGGCACAGCTGGCCATGGGCTTCAGCAGCTGGTGAAGTGGCATCAGTCTGGGGATACAGCGGGGCTCCTGAGTGCTCACTCACTGTTACTTCCTGAGTGACCCACAGCAACCAGAAAAAGGGGTGCTGTGGCCAGACACAGGCAGTCATGGTTCACTTGCTCCTCGGGGCTCAAGGCCAGGAGATGTCAGGGGCTCCAGGAGAGCAGAGCCAGGGACAGGTCAGCACAGGCTGACCTGAGAGGCCTGCAGGCCACTCCTGGTCCTTTTACTCCCCAGAATATATAGTTTTCCCATCTATAGAGTGGACTGCTCACAGCATCAACCGAGGGCTGGGTCAAGCAGTGGAGCCCAGGCTCTGGGCCAGGAGCCCTTCCATACCCAGGGCTGCAGTGGGGGCCCAAGGCTCCCTCCCCAGGCTGAGGGTGAGAACACAGAGTCCCACATCATGGATGTGCTGATTGGCCCAGGGCTCCCACCTCTCTGTGGAGCGGCTGGCCTTGGTACGAAGCAGGTGGCGGAAGAGTCCTTGGAGCTGTGGGTCCCGGAAGGCCTCCAGGCAGCTAGGAATCTTGAGGGAGACGTCCCAAAGTGGCCTTTCTGATGGGGTCTGTGTGAACCTAAGAGGACAGAAGCTGGGCTGGGATGCTACTCTCAGCACAAGTCAACCATGGTCCTATTTGTCCCGACGCCAGGGGCACCTGCTGTAGCACCACAGGCTTGCAGGGCTGGGGAGGCAATCTGGGCCGCAGAGCATGGGAGACTCCCCTTGCTGGACACGGAAGTGCTGAGGAGCCCTGGGGCTCGGGCGCTGCTCTGGGTGGGTGGTGAAGGGACCAGAGATGTGCTGTTGCGGTCCGGAGTCTTGCAGGGGCTCTGGTCAGGGGTCGGGAGCAGTGAGGAGAGCAGCGCTGGTGCTGGCTGCATGGGAGGGGGCAGGGCTGCCCAGGGCAGAGTGGCCACCTGAGCTGTAGGTCCAGGGCAGCAGTCAGGCAGGGCAGGTCAAGCAGTGCGTGTAACATCTCCACGGCCGTGCCAGCATCCACCAGAGCTGGCAGGAGTACCACGAACTCGGCTGTGAGGGGAGGGCTGTTCCAAGCCAGGAACTGTGGGCGATACAGTGGCTCAGACAGGGCGGGAGGACGCTGGCTGGCCATGGCCTCAACCAGTGGCTCCTACTGCCCACTCACACCACTGAGACACTGTTCAGACGGGGCAGCTGGACCCACCCCCCTTCCTCCCCACACTGCCCGAGATGAGGCTGTGTGTTTTGGGCCATGTTCTGAGGATTTCATTGACTACTGTTAGTGTGAGCACGTGCACACGCACACAAATGGGAAGCCAAAGGACACCGTGCAGGAGTTGGGTCTCTCGTTTTAACACGTGGATCCCAAGGCCGGAACTTCCACCCGTCAGCATCAAGTGTCTTTACTAGCTGGAGCCATCTCTCTGGCCACGTCTGCTCTTCTATTTCGTCCTTTGTAGCCAATTTTGTGCCAGCAATGAGGTTAGCCATTCCTGAATCACTCTTTAGGAAAAGGACTGAACGCTGGGGTAGGGAGATGGCCCAGTCAGGAAAGTACTTGCCGTGCACACACGGGAACCTTGGTTCTAGCCCCCAGAACCCTAAATTCCAGGTGTGGTGGTGCATGCCCTGCACTGGGGAGGTAGAGACAGGCAGATTTCTGGGGCTTGCTACAGACAGGTTAGTCCACTTGGAGAGTTCCAGATCAAAGAGAGGCCCCATTGTTTGACGAACACCACCTGAGGTTGACCTCTGACCTCCAGAAGCGCGCACGCACGCACGCACGCACGCACGCACTCGCACACACACACACACACACACACACCCCTCCCACAGATCCATCACAGGCTCGTAGTAATGGACTGAATGCACCAGTCTGAGTAATGCCATGGGTCAAGCCAGGCATGACTGCACATACCTACAATCTGGCACCCAGGAGGCTTGGCTTCCTGGAGCAGAGGTATCTCAAAACTGAAGCTGGCCAGCTCAAAGTCAGCCCATCCATCTCCTGCCTCTGCATGATATTAGTTTGTTTTTTAGATATTATTTCATGTGTATGAGTGGTTTGCCAGCGCGTATGCATGGGCACTGTGTGCATAAAGCGCCTGAAGAGGCGAGCAGAGGGCACTGGATCCCTGGGAATTAGTAACAGATGGTTGTGAGCCACCATATGCTAGGAATTGAACCTAGGTTCTTTGCAAGAACAGCCAGTGCTCTTAACCACTGAACCATCTCTCCAGCCCTTAGATTTTTCTTTTTGTTGTTTGTTTTTGAGACAAGGTGTCCCTATGGGACCCTGGCCATCCTGGAACTCCCTATGTAGACCAGGCTGGTCTTGAACTCCTTAGAGATCCTCTTGCCTCTGCCTCCTGAGTGCCAGGATTAAAGGTGTGTGCTGACACATCCAGCTTTGTTTGCTTTTTGAGACAGGGTGTCACGTAGCCCAGGCTGACCTGGAACTGCTATGTAACTGAAGCAGGCCTTGAACTCCTACTTCTGATCGCCTTGCCTCAGCCTCCCTTGTGCTGGGATTACATGTACGTAGCACCATGTCTGGCTGCCATGTGGCTGTCTGAGATGATGCTGTTTGTATGTTATGATACACGGAGACTCCCAGCCCTAACACCTTGCCCTGGGCCCACCTGCAAAGACGCCCACACGTGCCTTGAACAGACTAGGGAAGTTCAACCTGAGAAGGCTGAGGAAGTGGGGGTCAAACAGAGCCAGGTTGTGTGTGCAGAAGTGTATGACCTCGAAGGCAAGGGTCGGGCTGTAGAAGCGCTCAGAAGGGAGTCTGCTGAGCAGGTGCTGGTAGATGGCTTCTGCATCCATGGCGGCTGCCTCCCCTGAAAGACACCAGAGGCCACCAGGGCATTAGGTGCTGCGGAAGGTAGCACCTGCAGTGTAACCTGGGTTAAAGAACTCAGAGTGTGGCCGAGCCTCCAGGGGCACACGTCTCCAGAAACCCGAAAGGCTTCTGTAGATGCTGTCGCCTCCCTTAGGCCTCAGAGCACCACCCACGGGGACACTGTCGGGAAAGGTGTAGGCCGCAATGTCTGACTTTCATGGGCCCATGGTAGAGCAGAGTTCTGAGCTTGCCTGGGAACTGTAATCTCAGCCACTCAGGAAGCTAAAACAGAAGAATCCCAAGTTCAAGACCAGCCTGGGCAAGTTTGAGAGAACCCATTCCGAAATAAAAGAGAGGCTAAGGTGTGGTGGCACACTCTTTTAAACCCAGCACTTGGGAGACAGAGGCAGGTGGACCTCCATGAGTTCCAGGTCAGCCAGAGCTACACATGAGTGCCTGTTTCAAAACAAAGAAAAACCAAACTCATAAAAAACAAAACAAAACAATCAAAAAGAGGGCTGGGGATTAAACTCACCTAGAACCACCCCCCCAGTGAGGGGCTGGGGTATATCTCAGTGGTGGAGCACCTGCCTAGAATCCCCCAGAGAGGGGCTGGGGTGTGGCTCAGTGGTAGAGCACCTGCCTAGAATCCCCCAGTGAGGGCTGGGGTGTGACTCAGTGGTAGAGCACCTGCCTAGAATCCCCCAGTGAGGGGCTGGGGTG